CCCCAAAACCCCAAAACCCCAAAACCCCGTTTGAGTAAGCTAGTAAGCAATAAAATAATCAAATGCGATTATATTATAGTGTAATCGTTTCGAATCAAATCATAGAAATACATCCTTATATCCTTGGGCTTCATTAAATGACCTACTTTTTACACTATCATTCTTAACTTATAAGGCATCATTATTATTATTCTGATTATTATCAGGAGGATTAGCATCAGGTTAAGCTTCAATAATCTTGTTTTCTTTAGCATCTTCACGGTCTTTATCAATAGGAATGAAAGCATGAGGATCATCAATGAAATCCTAATTTTAACCTCGGAAACTATCAAAGTCATCTTGCTTGCTTTTGTCTTTGCTTGCTGCCTTCTTGTGATTTCCCTTTTTATTTTTCTTTTATTTCTGATTTTCCCCATCATTTGAATGGTTATCTGCATGAAATACATTTGATGACTTCTTATTTTTTGTAGAATTTGGATTGCCTAAATAATCATCAAGATTGTCATTTTTCTTTTTGCTTTTCTTCCCCTTCTTACCTTTGGGTGACACTTAAACATCAATTTCTTATGAATTTTCAAAGCCTATTAATTCTGTCTTGTTTTTATTATCATCAAGCTATGAAATATCTAAAGATTTATCGTCTTAATCATTTAGCTATTTTTAATCTGATTATTCTAAAGCATTTTTTCTATCTAAAGGCCTTGGGAATTATTTTTTAATTAATTTATCCTCAGCCTCAGCTTCCTGTCTGAATATATTCTTTGGTTTCTTCATTTCAGTATGAATGTATATTACGCCAAAGATAATTAGGAATATAATGACTCCCCCACTGAAACCAATTAGCAGTGGCAATGTGTAGACTCTGAAGCATTCACTATTTTCTACACATTTCTTATTGATACAACACCCTTTCTCTCCTGAGCATTAATCATCTATCACGCATGATTGCACTTGCTCTTTTTGTTTAATCAACTCGTAAACAGAGCAAGTATTCTTGGATCTACATTTAAGATTATAACAGCAGGATGTCTTGCAATCACCATTCGACTGGCAATATAAACCCTCATCTACTGGCTAAGCCTAAGAATAAGTAATAATTGCAAAGATAACTATAATGATTTCAATACATTACTTCATTTTATTATTATATTTATCATTTTTTATACTGAGTTATACAATCTCTTGGGGTTTTGGGGTTTTGGGGAGATCGGAAGAGCGTCGTGTAGGG